CCCAGTCAGGGTGAGACTGGGTGCTGGACCAACCCAATCTTGTAGTAGCATTTTACACTTTGAAGTTGCAAAACGCATACCGAACATCGCTACGCTAGTACTCAAACTTTCCAGAAAAGCTTGCAACTTACCTGGATCGTCACTTAGTAGCACAATGTCGTCTGCATACTCTAGATCAGACAGTCTGCCACCAGGAAGTAATTCGATACCGCTATCCCTGCACGAGGATAGGGCTGTTTCAAGAATTAAACCCATGACAAAGTTAAATAGAAAAGGAGAGAGAGAGAGAGGGTAACCCTGTCGAACACCACTTTCCGTGGTGAACTGAGTCGAAAGCTGTTTCGTCGTGTTTGGAACTCGTTAGCAGTGCGTACGTTTTGTGTCCCTGTCAGGACTCGAACCGCGATTCTTCGCGCTAGGACTTCAAACTCTTACCCTTGAGCTACACGGTCGACGGTTAGCATCTTGTGCGAATGGCTCAATCAATTTTTAATGTTGAATGTTTGGATTGGTGATGCACGCGTGCTGAGACATGTTTTCCTCCAGTGTGCGACAGGATCTTTCGGGTGAAATTGTTTAAAATTTCACCTTTGTATCGGTGCTGGTGCTGATCGATATATTATCATACTGCGGTCAATCAGCAACTGCTGAGGTAAGTGAGCTCTTGGAGTTAATGCATTCTGGACCCACAATATGCAAACTAGTTGATCATCCGTAGCACTCAACTTATGTAGAAACTGAAATTCATTACACAATAAATTCCACGTTAAATGCCGCAATGAGCAGAAATAAAAACATTCATTGTACATAGGTAGCTTGCTCATGATGGAGGTTCTCTTAGAGATCGAAACCAAGCAGGCCACTGAAATTGGTTGATTGAAAGTGTGATTAGGTAGCCATCAAAACCGGCGCACGATAGTGGCACATGGTTAATGGTTGTACAAATTGAAACTGAAACTGCAATAACATTCGCGCAGTGAGCACTCACAGAAGTGTCGTCAACATGTTTCCCTAAAAACTTATCTGTGGTGGGCATGACAATGAGATTAAATTAGTGATTATTTTATTTGTTGTGTCAGATGCTCTGCTTTACTTGAACATATTCTGAATAGATCAGGTACAAACTGAACACTGAAAACGGCTATTTATGACTAAGTGCAATTGGAGGTCTTTCAAACTCACTCGCTTTCTTTTTTCACGAATTTCTTGTGGGGCAGATGTGTACGTGGTTGGAGGGCTGCGGGAGGTGCGACCAGCTATCAATCCGGAAATCTACCGTCTCGATTTGGAAAACCATGTTTGTCATCTCGTGGGCAGACAGGAATCCCCCGCCTATTTCCACGATATTGTCTATGTTCCTCATGTAAGTCTGGGCTCACCCCTACTGCTCTTCCTATCCTCCTGACGCATGCATTGCACTGTTCTATTAGGCAATTTGGCCCTGGATTAGGTTTGAGATTTCAGGCGGATAACCACATCTGGCCGAAATCGCATTGCCACTTAGTAATTACTAGCTTCACTTGGGTGGAGCTCTTTAAGAATTCTTTTGAAGCTTGGGAAAGAAAGAAGACCAGCACATCTATTTGCGACATCAGCCGTGCAGTGCTTCATAGCTTTTCAGTTTACACTTCATTTTCTCAATACACGGCGAACTCCTTCTTTGTAACATCTGTTTATGTTGGGTTAGTTGTTTTAACTGTTATGCCATACATGTTCTCTAGAGGTATGATGTAAGGTAAATTTCCTGGTATCACAAAATAAGCCCGTCGCCCCAATTAAAACTCATTGTTGCTTAACATGTTTTTGAATGAATTCGTTTTCATCTTCACACTACACACACACACACACTATATATATATATATATATATATATATATATATATAAACTGAAAGTATTATTCAACTTAAGACGTCATGATTTAGTTGGTGTGAGCCTGTGTACACAGATATACAGGATTGGAAGGGATGCATGCGGGAACTTAGTCAGTTAAAGAGAGTATGCGTTGTTCACACAGCCCTTGTGTCGTGCAATTCATTATTGTCCGGTGTCACTGTTTGGAATGCGCGTAATGTGATCACTCTTCTGACATGAAAATTGAACTGTTTGGACCGGTTTGTGTTAGGCACAAAAATTTAACTTTAAGCGGCTTGGGTCGTTGGTGATTTCCCAAACCTACCGGGCTCTAAAATATTTGGAGGAACCCTGTAAACCGCGATAGGAGTCGATTCGTCTTTCATATAGTCTCCTGTTTCTACCCAATGAGCGACGGTAGACCTTGATTCTCTCGACTAATTCCGTGTCTAAACCTGGTGTTCCACTGTTCCTTCCAACGGTTGTTGTTGTTTGTGATACAAGCAAATATTCCATTTCGCCTGTTCGCCAAGCGGGGCAATTTGTTTGCTAACTTTTCATCACCAGCCGAGGTGAGATTAACAGTGCTTGTGAAGTGGCAGTGTTCTGCTTGTACCTGTTGGTTTGTGTTCTTCTCCACCGATTATTTTCGTCGCCTGTTCTCACTGTGTTCGACACAGTTCGCCGTTGACCTGGTGGGAGGGGAGGTGGTTGACTTTTCGTCCCGATTGCGGTCCGTTCTCAGGTGACCTTTTTTGTCGCGTCATTTGGTCCTTGAGTTGTATTGGTGTGTACACGTGATCCAGTTCGATGTGCCTGCTATATTGAATTGATTGAAGAGTGCCAGGCCTCGAGAAATTCTCTGGCGTGTTTTGAGGGGGCATCATCTACAAAATANNNNCTGGAAAGACTGTTCAAACACTATATCGGACGAACTGGGAGAAAACTGTCGAAAAGTGTCCGTGACCACCAATTGGCAGTCAGGGGGCATGACCCACTATAATTGATCTCCCTCAACGAAGATCACGCCGTGACCTGAGAACGAACGGAAACCGCAGTCGGGACGAAAAGTCAATCCCCTCCCCTCCCACCTTCAAACCATCGTACTAGGTCAACGGCGAACCGAGTGGAGCACTGTGAGAACAGGGGACAAAATAATCGATGAAGAACACATATAAACGAACGGGTACAAGCAGAACACTGCCACTTCACAAGCACTGATGATGTCACCTCGACTGGTGATGAAACGTTAGCAAACAAATTGCCCAGCTCGGCGAACAGGCGAAATGGAATTCAGTTCATCCGAGCTACGAGGACCAATTTTTAATAGTTTGTCAACAAGTAAATATTATTGTGCGTCACCGGTGATGACACTACATAAAACTGACAGACAAATAAAAGCCATCCGAATCTTTCCTGACAAAATTAGTACGTGATGCAAGTATTAATCTCGTCGATGACTATCGATACCATAACCACCTGACTGTAGCAGAAAGTTTTACGTGTTGGTGACAGTAGTCAAACGGTCGTTTGCCCCTGCGTGATACAAATTAATACAGTGGAGCCTAGGTGTAAATGAGTCACAAAAGTTTAGTATAATTTTAACCAATTTTCTTTGACTTTTTTATCAATTGTAATGACTAGGTTGTAAACATTTGTCACCACGGTGCGTAGACCGCGTCTTACGTTTCATTTTGAGTGTGGTAAAGCAAGAGATTCGAACCTTACCAAGACCACCCAGCTTTTCTCATAGGTAGCTTTGCTGTCTCCCTTCTCCGTACCTGTGCTTCAACAGTCCAAGTTACAGCGCTTAGTTTGTTGCTGTCTGTTCACTGACCGTCCAATTCTCACCACAGTGCAATCATGCCCTTCGATCTGTATCTCTCTTGACGGGTCCTTTGTCTTTGTCAGTTGTCTGGGAATGGAGTGTAAGATTTCAATTTTCCTTCTAGCATCAGCTGGTGTCTATTCATTGTTGATTATCATATTACTATTAATATTATTACTATCAGTAATCTGATGAATGGGATCTGGAAGAGTGAAGCTTTTTGAATCACAACCAGGACATTTACTCGTACATCGCGGTTTCTCAACATCAAAGACAAAACGTTTTTTGCATGGAAGGTTTTCTGGCACACTCTTTGAGTAACTCGTAGATATGTGTTGATTGCCTTTTTCCCATGTATGTTTTCTGTTCACTCACTGGCCATCTCAAGTAAATGGAAGTGCGTTACCGTTTTCAGACGCTGTTATTAGACCCAAGCTCGTGCGATACGTGATCGAGTTTCGCTTTTCACACCACCGGTTCATTTCTCGTAACCAGTTGGTGTTCGCAAGTGTTCTGATTCTGGTTTAAGTCAAGGCAGGCTCATGCGACAACACATTTTTAGACTTGGGATTTATTTACAATCCATTGATAGAATGTGAAATGTGATGTATAAATAAGTGTGTAACACTTGTATTTTATACAGTAATATAATTATAATAATTATCTTTGTAACGATATGATATAATGTGTGATGTGCTATATACGTTTGTAATGTTTCCAGCGATTGCCTGCCTCCAGAAACGTTCCACCCCAAGCAAATTCATAGTAGCACCGTGCGTGACAAATGCCTGAGCCACTACTATCCATGGAAGCTAGACGCCTGAATCACTGCACGGCCACTACTAGCCAGTAATCAATGTTTTCTCCGGCCGTTCAATGAGAGTCGTTCAATCCTGCCTAGACAGCACCGTTCCAGTGCCGATAATTAGCGCTCATCCTCTATACGTCACGTTTGTATCTTTTTGTAACGTACTATGATTACGTCTGTCCTTTTACTTTCTTTTTCTATTTATTGAGTATACAAATGTTCAGTCAACTTTCAGGAAGGGGGCTCCGGCCATACAAAGGCTGCTTGGGGAAAATACACACATAGAGAAGACGGCCGGCGGTGAAGCAGTTTGAATCCAGGACACCCAGGTCACTGGTTGGTGACCTAACCACTTAGCCACCACCGCCCAATGTCTTACAGTCTGCAGTTCTTTCTTTGTGGGCAGCTAGATGTTGCTTTTACGCCAACAGGAACAAGTCTGCATTAAACGAAAATGACACAGAACTTCGAGTCTGCAAGAGTGTAATTTCGATCAACGAGATCGGAGCTATTCTGGGTTGTATGATTGATGCTAGGGTGTACTTCTGTTGTAACAAAATTTGGTGACACTGAACGCTAGGCATGAGGTTTTCCATTTGGTTTTTCCCCTCAGTAACTTGATTGATCTACCCGTTCATCTCTTAACACAGTCCAATGAATTGTACTGTTTCGGTGGAACAAATCGTATCGACCCGGTCACCCGTACCAACGAATTACACCGCTTCCGGCTGCATTGCCGACCGTTAGCCCTAATGGAACTGGCATGGAATAAATTGTTGACACTCCTTTGCTCTCCTGATCTGGAGCTCCTCTCCATCCAACGGTATATCACAACAATAACAGAAACACCCAACGATACGCTTCTGTTCATTTCTGACCGTCTCCAATGTGTTCGTGCCAGACCAAGCGCTAGGTTGGCTGCTGTCCCACGGAATTTGCACCATCTACCTCATCAGATCCATGTAAGTCCGCGATTCGTACCAGTTCTATCATCCAATCATTCATGTGAACTCAAGCCACGCTTATCCGTTTTTTGTTGGTTTTCTTTTTTTCAGACGGCCATTTTTCGTGTTTCCGCGGTCGTTCTCTTGATCACGTATGGTTTTCATTTGGGTCTTCATTCGGTTCAGTCAGTTCTGTCACATGAAGACATGATCAATGCTCTTGAACAGGTGATATCTGGTGCGTTAAACCTCTCCGTTTGAGATCGTTCTGTTCGTGAGAGTAATCAGTTATTCATCTTTAATTGTGTAACACTAGCTGTAAGGATTGTGGTTTTTCTTCTCTCCGTAGTTTGAGTGTTTGTGTGACTGTATTTAGCATGCGTTTTGTACTTCCAAAGTGTAAAATGTATCAGGATTAGATAGGTTAGGCTGTGAACCTCACTAACAGGGAAGGCAATCGAGAATCTAGATTCGTTTTGTTATATGGGCTTCTCTATTTGGGTAATCTAATTACTTTCGCGGAATTTTTTGAGGTGAATTACACATTTGGTCAAATCGTTTTGTCAGTGGAACGGAGATGCATATGCTTTAAAATGTTTTTCACATACCTTGCAATTTCTCCTGATTATGGCTTTAACATTTCGTATGTCTTTTTCCAAAGGCGACAAAACTGGACTGTCAAAGTTAATGGAACGTCTGTCACAAGGTTTACAAATCACCAGTAGTTACGAATCTGGGGGTGACTCTCGGGCAAGTATCAGGTTGTCTGTTTCAGGGGCAACTCCTCAGACCCCGATTCCTTTCTCCGTCCCAGAGATCAAAGCAGACACACGGTTGCCGATTACCACGGCGGTAGACAAGCTGTTCTACACATTCCTACTGTATTTGCTCAACATACCGGATCGTCTTATTCGTCGCCTTCCAGACGGTCTTTACTACTTGCATTATGTGGTGGCAATGGAACGTCTGCTGAGTGATCCAAACTGACCCAAATGAATTCATGTTAAACCGCTCTGACTTCATTCAGTGACATGCGATCCTCACTCAACTCTTTCATGTGACCATGTGAACCACGTTCCTCTCCTTGCTTGTCATGTCCTGGTTTTCTTTTCTTTGTGCTTTCGAGATTCTTAGCCATACCCATAAAATCCAGGCCTACACACACACACAAGCGAAACCACCTGCGTATTGTCTCATCATCCCTCCTAGTTCAAGAGCATTGAGGAGAATGTACACATTTTGTGAATAGCTTCAGATTCCAGTTTCCGAATTCAACATCATCCTCTTCACTGTACATGTTCGAGTTTTAAAATCAGACGGACGGAGACTAAACGAACTCAGCGATTTGTTGAAATGTCTGGAGTGTAGTACTGCTAGTAATGGTATACGAAACTTGTTCTTCTCAGTGTACTTAAAATACAGAGCGGGAACATCCGGTTCATCATCATTCGAAGGGTGTTTTTGAGCAGCTCTTGTGAGACTACAAGGTTAGGATATTATCATACTAATTTACAATACAAAAAAACTGAGTGTCAACAATTGTTCCTTCGATTGGCATATCACAGTAAGCTTATTCGCCATCTGGCAGGTACTTTCAGAAGCCACTTTACAATCTTGTTAGATCATACGGTTGGGACCAACGCTACCATTTGGTTACTGAAAGCTACACCGCACAGTTTCAGTTGAAGCATAGTATGAGCTATTCCGGCGCGACTCAACTGTTTAGCATTTGATTATTGCAGTGATCCATAGATAGGATATAGTCTTGAAGAACTATCTCGATGCCGACTGCTTCTACCATTGAAATCCTTCAAGAATTAACCATTACGTCGAGACTCCAAATTAGCATGGTATGATGACTTGCTTGTTGCTATACAGGCTAGCCTCTCACAGTCGCAGATCCATTCATGTCAGAAAGATCAATGGTTAAAGGCCAGACAAAGCTCAGTTTCACAACACCTGCCTCCCCTTGACTATCCATTCTTTCCTGAAAATGTCACTCTTGCAAATCAATGTAATAAGGAGCAGTTTACCGGTCAAAACTCCCGCCGGATGGATGAGGTACCTGGAGCTTCCTCTCAACTTCCGCACTTCATTGGACATCTGCCACTCACCCAGGCTGGCTAGCCCCAGCCAGTAAGATGCTGTCTCATCCACGTCCCATTTGTGTCATTGGGTGCATGGTGATAACGGTCGATCCCGAACGGCGGAACGACATTCAACACACCAACCAACCACAGAACCAAGGCCTTGTGTGATAGGTCTATATGAGCTGCCATACCGGAGCTACGGTCACGTCTTTACATTTTGCCTACACTCTATCACCTTAAGAGTCAGACTTTTGTGTCGAAAGCTCTGGTTAAGGTTCCCAAAGAGAAACTTCATTGGTGTGGACTACACGAAGTATGTCATACTTCTTGACCGGATTCCAATCAGTACCCACCTGTGCGCTGTACGTTTCAGTGGCTAAGCGCGGATCAACAACTACAGAACCAAGCTTCAGCGCTTATTCGTCTTGTCCATCTGGGCATCAACAGATTGAAGTGAGCCTTTTACATCTGCTCTAAGTTGTTCACTCAGCGGATATCGTAATAGTCGCTGGCGACTTCGATGCTCGAATAGGGATCCAGAAAGGCTTCATGCGATACCAGCCAAATGGACGAAAAAATTTACTACCTACCCAGAACCAACTTCTTCTGCACGAAACCACCTCGTCTTTCGTGTAAACTCCCTAAATCTTCTCGGCGATGAACCTAAATCGACCACCGCCATCAGCTACTACTGGCGGGGTTAGTTCAAGACTTCAGCTCTCTTGTCAACACCAGTGGATGTAAACCATGCTCTATCGCGAGCCAGATAAACAACTGCAACAGAGCCACCGGAAACGGACGCCCACGATACAATGTAAACGACAGTCGCACATCGGTATTCGGAGCAGAGCTCTCATCGCCTCGGTTCAATCATTTATCGAAGGACCCAATAAACACGAAGGTATCTAAACGACAAAGAAAACAGCGTTCGATTCAGTCACACAATGTAAGCATGTTTATAGATTTCGATCTCGGCTGCTTTGTTGGTTGATTGCGAAACCGTTCTTCCGGATACCAAGTATCTCTACGCGCAAATCTCTTAGACATTAGCTCATCAGGAGTCTGGGGAACGGCCTCGAGAAGTGGCAGATAGCATTATTGGAAGAGAAGGAGAAGACTGTGACCATGGGTAATATCCATGAATTTGTCAATCTAATCAGCGGTACGAGCAGGTCCTTTTGAACCAATATTTAACTTGCCCACATCGACGTTACACTTGCCGATTTCTGATTTTGCTGGGAAACTACTGCTAGTTCATATCAGTCCTCCTTTTCAAATAAGGATTATCCACGAAAGGTGTAATACCCGATTCGGATCGGTTGTTTCCACCGTTTTTTTAATTTATGAGGTTCTGCCTTGGTTTTGGAGTTTTCAAAAGCTCTAGTTTCAGTATGGGAGAATGAATTGGTTCCGGTAGAGTGGTGTAAATCGGCCGTCTTACTGATTTCCAAGAAAGGGTATAAATGCGAAATCACAGAGTAATTAGCTTAATCAACATCGTCTCTAAGCGTCTCACTGGCATTCACGGTCGATTGTCTGCTGTACATCAACGGTGAACGTAGGGAAACAATTGTTTTTCTGAAATTGTGTTCTAAATGCGAAGTTTGGAACATAGGAGAACCAGACTGGTTTTAAACAATGGTAGAGGTTGCATCGAACAAATCTTTACTCTTTACAAAATTCTGGAACATAAACATTCCTCTCGTAGACCCACCATTCCTATCTTTCTCAATTTGGAAGTGGTATTTGAATGATCTGATTGCACTATGCTCTGAGAGTTTTCTCTTGAGGGATGTGCCAGGGGGTATATTTCAATATTATGATCACCTTTGTAATGATAGCCTAAGCTGAGTTCAGTTCACTCGCCTTCTTTTGAATGCTTTGCTGAATACGCAAACTCTCGTGGTGCGTTTTGGGAAAGACGCTCTCATAGCGACAACTTACCACGTCCTCAAGTACTGCGGTTGCTCATCCGTGACCAATTATTCACTGAGTCCGAGCTCTACTTATTCAGTTAGTCACCAACATTGTCTGTATCTCTATATTTGGCCTGGGAAGGCGGTAGTTAGTACGCAGTTGTATCCAGTTACGTATTTCGACTAATTTTGGAATATGTAATTCAGTGTGCTAGAATGTTCCTGGACTTGAAACCTTTCTCTTTATTATTTAGTTTCCGAATTGGGTTCGATTCTCCAGATTCCATTTGCTAGCGATAGAAGTACAAATGCTGTTTAACTAAATGATATTTACGAATATTTTTAAATGGATAATAGCGGAAGTTAATAGGAAATCAATTTTCCATGGCATGTTATGGGGCAAAGTTTCACTGTTCTCTTTCCTTTACTACTTCTTCCACTACTACCATCTCCGCTGAAGTTTCTTCATCGGATGCGCTTTGTTCTTTCTGCGAAAAAATGAGACACAAACGGCATTTCAGTTTTAATCAGGTGATTTATGCAAATATAATCATTTGAAACCCTGCCAGTAATGCTACTATTTGTCTTCTTTTGTCCTGTTGTGGTGTTTTTCAAACCTTATTCTGAAAGCGTAAAACATTCACTGATGGTGACTAATCTGCCGAAAGTTGGTCTGGGAGCAGTTACGGTGCTTTAGCTTTCAGCATTATGCCATGTAGCCTCATTGGATCGATCGTGGAACGATACATGTTATTTTAATGCCTCGGTTTGATCAAATCGTCCAGATGCGTTTTACTGAGCTTGTTTTCTAAAGTTTGAACATGATAAAACCATAAATTGCTTGTGCACAGTCAGTTTTGGCTGTAGCAATAACTAGGTTTCGGAACTTGTTTTTGGTCACCGCTGCCGGTAATAATCAACCTAAAACCACATTTGTGCTTCGCATAAAACCCAGTGGATCGTTATTCCATCGCTCTGTAGGTCTTGTGTATACGAACCTTACCACCACTGGTTAATTCTTCCACGTTATTGTCCCATGACAGCCCTCTGATGGACCATTTTCGAAAAACCTATACAGTGTAATAAGTTGACTTCTGTTCGTCATCGCGGCTTACGCGCCCGCAGTATGCAGTCCCGATTAAACGAAAAACGAGCTCTACCATCAACTCACCATCATCAGACATTATTGCAGGACTCTCAGTGCTGAACTGAGACAGTTCCTTAAGGAGAACCCTTCCCAGACAAAACTGCCGTTGCTTCCCGTAATGCTCACAAGATTTTATGACTTATTTGAGCCACCGGTAACAAAAATACCATGCTTGGCGGAGCACTTCCATCAACCATTTAGTTAGCTATTGGCATCACTATCCCCTTCTCCTGACCTACGCAGTGCTCCATGGTCTGGAGATATTTCACCAGTTTCAGTTAAGTTTGTACAACCATTAACCATGCACTTTTGTTCACCGGTTTTGGTTAGTGTTTTTTGGCTGCCCATTTGGATGAAGAATAGAAGACAGGAAGATTGAAAGTAGAGTCGAACAGAAAATGGAGAATTTCAGTGGTCTAAGGTTGCAAAGAAATTGAGGAGATGCACGAACGCACTCAGTGTCTCTAGTCATCGGTTACAATCATCCCGAGGTCCCCATCCAGGGAACCTAACAAGACCTATGTGATCCAGTCCCCTGATCACCCTTGGCTTTTTTCCACTCGGTATCTGCTTCGACGAACATCGGTCGCAGTGACATGCGTAACACATGCCCCAACCACCGTAATCTATGGAGGTCGACCACTTGCTGCAGTGGGCGACCGCGGTTACCCAAAACTCTGCGCCTAACGTTAGCATTGGTCCTCCGGCTGCCCCACCACCTATCAAAGAAGAAGTCTGTCGAGACCTCAGACTCCTGAAGTGCCGTATGGCCCGGTCCAGATGATCTCCCTCCGGCTCTTTTCAAAAACAGTAGTTTAAGCCTTGTGCGATAAC